AGCCCTCTGAGATCTGGCTATTAACCAGTTCTCAACTCAACTATTTCATAGGGCAAAGCAAGAACAAACAAATAAAGAGAATAAGGTGCTCACTGAGCCTTCTGGATGGTCCCTCAACTGGCAGATGGGTAGTGCAGGGAAATAAACTTGTAATGCAATCACCCTAATGGCTAAAATATATCAACCTCCAAAACCACAACTCTAGAATCTTTCACAAGTACTACATTTATTAGAAAAATAAGGTACATTGCTGGTAGTATGTATCTGGCACTTAGTATGACATAATCTGCTCTGAATGTCAAATATGTAAACAGATGTCAGTTCTGAGCAGTATTTAAGATAAAATTTTAGTCAGCAGGATATGATTTTCATTTAAACATAAATTTACTTTGCCAATTGTCACTAGCAACTTAAAAAAGCCCCACATATAAAAAATATGTAAGTATAAATGTTATGTGCACAGAGTCTTTGAAACTGTTCTGTTGTAAGCATCAGTTCTCCACAGAAGTTTAGCTGTCTCAGAGCCTTATATTTCTGCTATTTCAGTGTCTCCCCAACCTCTAATATTCTCTTAACTGTATATAAATGCAGATTCTTTTAAATGCAGTCTTAAATGCTGGGTTTCCTTGAGGTAACTTGCAATTTATTCTGTATATGATATTCAGACATCTTTAATAGATGCTCCCTGCATTTAACCAAAGTATACATTACTGAGAAGACTGAATTTAATAATTTAAATGGAGAACCAAGACAAGCACTCAAAGCCAGGTATTTCAGAGGCAAGAAAAATTCTGCAAATGAACTAAGGAGTCTCAGCTTTGTCTGTGTGACCATCAGTTAAGAAAGTACATATGTACACAGACACAACAGTTTAAGCACTTCCAAAGCAGTTGGGTAGTTTCAGAGCATAAGTCTTGTTTTTGGAAGTCACACAACAACTTTGAGGGGAGCTTTCACTTTGCTCATGGCTACTGTCACTTGGCTGTCAGCCGTAGGCTCACTACTGACAAGCAGGTTTCCAGGCTGCTTCTGAGAGTGCAGCCATAAAATTAAGCACTTTATTAGAAATTGTTAGCCACAGAATTAATGTATTTCAGACTAAGCATTTTAGAAGGAGAGTGTTAGTCACACTAAAATACTCATGTATTTTAGTAAGGTTGGAAGTTCTCAAGGGCAAGTTTATAATTTCTTGTAACGATTTGTTACAGGCAAGAATTTCGATAAAACAGAGACGGATGCTTGCACCTGTGGAGAGACTGATAAAAGCGAGAAAGAAGATGAAACAGCCCAGACAAGACTGGATTTAGGCCTTGAACCAGGTCCAGAAGGCAGGAAACTGTGTCAGAACCAAGGAGTCAAGAGAAACACAAGCGATTCGAGGGGGGCGTACTGTGGGGGAGAACGGGGTGGGACAGATGAGGTAATCCTTGAATCTGTAGTTAGAAAGTTGTACACATTTATGAAACCCATGTGATTTGGGGTGCATCCTTTGGGATTTTTTCCAAAGCACCTGGCACCGCAATAAACTTGTGTGCTTTTTGGCTTTCTATACTCAAAACGAGTCTAGAGAGTTCCTGCTCTGACTTTTCAGCATCAAGAGCACAATGGCCTCATTCCTATTACAACTAAGACCAGCCTGTGCTTGGTTGTTAGTGAATAAGCCATAACACAGGCCCTGCATAGAGTTTCTGACTTGACAAAGCCGCATAGCAAGACTGTACATAATTCACCTGCAGTTACCTTCTTCAAGAACACTTCTAAACACAGACAGACATGTATGGGGCAGAGTCAGCACCTCCTTCCTGACTCTGCAAGCTCAAGAAAGTGACACACAGTCTCCATAAATATACGTGGCCTTTGGGCACTTGGAGAAGAGATAAGCATTTAAAACAATGACACATGCTGCAAAAAGCCTGGGGGAAAACAGAGCAGGGAGGTTTATTTTGATGATTGTATAAGGTGAGACATTGCATGTGTACTAGCTTTTCACAAAGAAGAGAAACATTGAGGTTGTTCTTTTATTTAAGCAGAAGGGAAGGCAGTGGCCAGTGACTACAGCTTCCCTCCCAGGGGGCTGACTCACCACTTCCTGTCACCCTGTTAAAACTGAGGCATCACTTCAGCTACAGCTCCAGAGCTTCAAACTACTCCACACAGCCCAGCTTCTGTTTTTACTGGAGCTCTGTGCAGTTACACAGCTTCAGTTCAGCACTGTCAGTACTAGTGGATGAGTTATTTTTAAAAGGTACTGCATTGTCACAAATCAGCCTCCTGGTCTAATCTGTTTAGCAAATGGTGCATTTAGTTCCTTCATCCATATATATGTGTATAAATGTATATATATGCAGCAGGCACTCAACCTTCCATTTGTTGTGTAGAACGACGAACTCATTGAAGGTATGCACTAAATAAGCAGAAAACTGCTATTGTTTTTGTTAGATTACTCAGAATACACATGGTAGAATTAAACTACTGACCCCTGTGGTTGTCAGGGGCCCTAGAAAGTCAACTTCATATGTGCATAAATAAGGAATGCTTTGCTTAGTCATTTGTCTGTCAGTTGGGCATTTCCTATGTAAGGGCAAAAGAAAACAGTGGTTAAAGGGTCTTCTCTGCAGTTTAGATCTGTATGCTGATTTATGTTAGTCTGCAGGCATGGGGCCTGTTTGCACAAGTCTTTACCCACAACACACAGAAATCTTCATCTTGCAGACTTTCCAATACTACAAAAGCTTAAAGAATGTTAACACTGAATTTGATAAGAAATGAAACCTGTTTGTGCATCAGCAATGTTTATACATGAAGTTAAAGCTTCAGTTTAAAAGCACCACAGATTTCATTTGGACTTTTTAATTAGACTATCTACAAAAGTAAAACTCTTTCATTTTGGGACTTATGCAAAATAATAAACCCATTATATATGTTAGTTGTATTATTTCAGGCACTACCAATGGGCATTACACTGATAAAGAAATCAGTAAAGATTTAAAGGAAATTAAAATCAGATTACCACTCTACCCTGTCTTATCCTTTCTTCTATAATTGCTACGTTCATTGACTTTCAAGACTCCATACTAATTTTCACTAAGCATATTTGGAAATATTTAATAATCTGAAAGTGATGTTTAGTCACTGCGGAAACAAAAAGATTTATAATACTTATCTATTTAGCGTCTGAAGTGGTCTGGTAATGCAAATCAAAAGGAATACACACCCAGCAGAAGCAAACTCCACCTTCTCAAGAGGGGCAGTCCAGTCTGACATTCAGGACCCCTTATGCTCTTGCTGCTTAGCCTGTATGGTGAAGTGCCCATACCTCAGGAGCCTGAGATGGTTCTTCCTGCAGCCAGGAATGCTGCTGTGTGACATGAGAAGGAGCTCCCCTTTCCACAGTGGGGGCAGGTGTGCCAGCAGTGACTCTGCACTGTCTGCAGTACCCAGGGGATTTCGCCTACCTAAACAGAGGCAGCTATGGAATGTCACACATTTCAACCACTTTGTGCTCCAGAAAGAAACATCTCCTTATTCTGACAGCCCCATCATATCCGACAGGCCCCATATGGATGTCTTGGGCAACGCAGGGTGGTTTGTTTTTAAAGACACTGAAGCCTCTATTTAGGAAACTGAAGTTCATCCCAAATAGAACTGTATGAGCAGCTCTGATTCTGGCCTGATTCTAATTGTAATCCTGATACGGAAGAGCCTTCAAACAAGGAAAAATGTGGATTACAATGTAAGATCCATCACTTGCTAACAGGTCAGACTGATGTTCAGATAAGGAACTTCAAAACTGTCTGTAATGTCACAAAGCTGACTGCATCTAATCATATTGCACATTTGCAATATGCCTGTTGACTGTTCTGCCATGTATGAGATACAATACCAACACACCAGCAGGAACAACATCTTGTGGCAAGACAGGACTAATACAACCACTACATTGTTTAAAGACAATTATCTCTCTACAGTGCAGAAGTGCCTTATTTACTTAAATCTTGATGACATATTTCCTCCCAGAACTATTATGTATGTACCCCAAATGTTCTGTTATTTATGATCTAAACTCCTGATACCTAGGGTTTTTTTTGTTTGCTCTTGCCTGGGACCACTATGATCCTTCTCATATCTCACAACAAAGGAAACCGAGCTGCCTAGAAGGATACCATCTGATTTCTTTACTGTGCCTAGATGCAAAAAACTACCAGAGACCAAAGTACATGATGCCAGAAAATTATGTATAATTCTAGCTAAAATAATGGACTCTCTTCCACTGAAGCCAAAGGGTACTGCTGGTTTCAATGGGACAGGACTGGCTTGAGATGGATGTATGGGAATTGATGCTGAATGCTTTCCAGTTTGTGTTGTAGTTTTATTCAGACTCGTGAGAAAGAATGTTGTTAGCTATAGATAAAATGTTTAGAAGATGGGACACATTCAAAAGTATTTTGGTTTTGTACCAATGATCTATTCCAAAATTTAAGAAATATCATTTGAAGAAGGTTCACAATACAAATGGAGTATAGGAATATGGTGAACTTAAATTATGAGAATGATGAACTAAATATAATTCAGAAGTAGGAAAATTTTATAAGTTTGAACTTACTGAGGCAATAAAGACATATATGACTCAAATCTTAGGGAGCAGACTGCCTGAAGAATATTAAGAGTAATCTTCAAATATATCTTGCAGAGTTTAAGTATAAAAGCATATTTCTCAGAAATAGGGTTTTTTTACTACTGAGATAAATAATCTGTGGTATTTCCATTCTTTTGATGTTTAGCCTACTGGGTATAGTTTCATTCTTTGAGTGTAACACAAACTGTAGTCTTAAATTCATCCCTTTATTGATAGGAATTTTATGTGGGGAATAACCAGACTTCTAGTTGGAAAACAAGAATTTAAAAGAAAGATAGCCATTTCAACAGTACACTAATGCCTACCAACACCTGATAATTAAAGGATAGTAACTTGACTGTATATTCAAAAAAAGTTAACCCACCTTGTACTTTTTCTCTGTTGAAACTGGAGTAGTTCATGCATCTGTTTCCTTCTCCGTGTTGTTAAAATACTGCAAAAGAAGCAAGAGAAATTAAAGAGAAGCTGTGGAAGAAAAACAGAAGTGGCTTGGAAAATGTGGGTGACACAACCACAAAACCTCCATATTTTCATCAAAATTTTGGTCCCAAGCCTTAGAATGACAATAGTCTTTTCCCCAAAGCAGATGTTTATGGAAGTCCTAAATAATTAGCTGCAGCATGCCTTGCTGTGTTCAGGTTCACTACCAGCTGCAGGCTGGTATGTCATGTAGCAAACAGCAGCAAGCAGGGATGTGTGCACCAGGAATGACGAGAGCACTGGCTAAAACGTGTCTACCATCTTCTCTGACTTGCCCTCAAAAGCTCCTCCTTTGCTGTAACCAGCACAGATCTGCAGGTAGAATTTCCTTTGGCTGGTTCTTCATGCTGAGTGCACTGTGGGGCTGCCTCCATGCGCAGGACCTGCTGAATCTGACCCACATGACTACAACCCACTGCATTTTGTCGATACTTCCCAGCCAGGGCTTGTGACTTGAAAGGGGCTGCAACATGCTTTCAGCAAGACAACAGTGGGTTTGCCAGCTTTGGGCTTTTTTTTTTTTTTTTTTGATATAATTGTATGGAATTGGGGTAATAACATATTGTGGTTGATGGAACAAATAGAACATGTCTGAGAAGCCATATTATTGCTATCTCTGAGAAAAAAACCCACTAGGCAATATGCTGCTTATTGCCAGCAGAGAGGATGGAGGCTCTGCATCTATCAGGTTATTGTCCAACTGAAGACTCTCAGGGTACCAGCACTACAAGCTGGGCTCTCGGGGTGGCAAAGACTGCAAAACTGGCATGGAGAATTGCAGCAACACACAGCCATCTTCCAGCTAACACCCTGCAAACATCAGCTTCCAAACAGTACATCAGCAACGAGAGCAACGACATGCAGGTTACATGGGTATGTGCTGACGCAGTGAGTGGGTCTTTTCAGAGCCCAGCACATTTGGGGTGTGCTGTAATTGGGGTTTGGTAGGTGCACAGCAAAATCAGGAAGTGCAATTTGCACCTCCTTGTGCCAGAAACCGAATGAGTCAGATCCTTAAAGCCTCAATTTTAGCTTTGCTTCTGCCTCCTCATTGTTCTGACTAATACAATGATTTCATAGCCAGCTAAGTATGTTAAAAGCCAGCTGCATGGTCTCTAGGTTAGAGCACAGCCCGGCTCATGCTGGCGTCAGAGCTAAAAGACTCCCACAGATTTCAGGGGAGCAGCTGCAGGCCACTCCAGCTAACTGTAGGCAAAATTATTAACTGCACTAAGAAAGACATAAATCAAAATACATTTAACAATACGACACACTGCACTGCTATCAAAGCATCAGAAGTCATTAGCATCTCAATTTTTAGGTGTCAAATTGAAACATCTTAAAGAGGCCAGAAGTTCAGAAGGAACAAAGCAGATGAACATAAGACTTCTAAAATATTAAAAACCTAGTAACCCATCACACCTCTCTAAACAAGAGACTTAAAGGAGGCAGCAAGTTTAAATGCAAATCTGTAAATACATGAAAAAAAAATCCAGAAAAATTCTCTGTATGGTTTTGGCCCCAGATGTGCAATTGCAGGATCAGTGTCATATGTGTTCCCTTGGTATGGACTTGGTCCTGAGTTGTGGGCAATAATGAAACTTGTGTCTTTCATGAGACTCTCTATATATTGGCAATTTTCATAGTGTACAGATTTACATAATCCAGGCTTCTCTCCAATTTATTTAATTATTTACTATAACTAAAGTATTTCAAACCTCATTTTTATCAACGTGTAGGAGGTTTTTTCCTTCTGTTTGTAAATGAACATTAATAAATGGCGAATAACACTGACGGTGAAATTAGTTAAAATAATGTAACATTTGAGAGGTAGTAACAGTTTTCTTTCGCTCTGACTTGGCAATGAGTTGATAACTCTTCTTCTTTCTGATCTTCTGTAAGCCAAAACCTCAGTCTGACAAATGATATTGTGAGAACAGATATCTAAAACTGCCTGGAGCTCTCTGGCAGAATCAGGTCAAGGGCCTTGATGGTAACTCTGCAAAAGGTAACACGGGCTTGCAGTTGGCTATTGACAGAGTAAGATTAGATGTGGTTTGGTAAAGCTGCTGTAACTATGGAAAATGAGGACCTCATCATTTAGTAGTCTTCCTAGCTAGTCCCCAGCATTTTTTCTCAAAAGGTGGGGATAAGGTCAATGGTGAAACCCAGAAGCTTCGCCACCTCTCCAGAATTGCAGGGAGCAAGACCAGGGTCGTTTAACTTTGACACAAAGGTCAGACTTTGCATATGCTTGCTGTACTGCATTCTGCACTCTCAGAATAGCAGAGCTGACAGCAAGGATCCCTCCTTTCTAACAGATGTCAGGTGTATTTCAATAAATATCGAAACCATGGATAGTTTTCTGAGCCTGATGTGAATACCAGAGGTTCTAAGGTTTCCTGCATGCAATTTGTAACCTCCTCAGAGGGCCTGATTTTCAGCCTTACCCGCCTATCAAGCACTACCCACTTTTTGGGTCAAAGAGTCATCAAAATGGGGTCAAAGGACGAGCTCATTATTTCCGTCTTCTGGGCAGTCTGCTCCCAGTGTGTGTCTTGGCTCCTCTGTGACGTACATGGCATTGTTTGTGAAACAATGTAATGTTTTAATGATTTGCAAAGTACTATGAATCCTGCATACTAAAGATACTCCACAGGCATTAACAGCTGTTATTTACTGCAGCAAAGTTTTATAGAATTCCAAGGATAGAGACTAATTATGCGTTCAGCAATAACTGCCCATTTTCTATAGCGGCCTTACTTAAATTGCCCATCAAAACTTCAGTAAACTGGCAACAGCTTAAGAAAAATTAATAGAGGATTTAAAATACATTTTTAATCTAATTTGCTGCATCTGAAGTAGCAACACTTTCAGATGGATTTTTGACAAAATAAATACTAAAAAAACCCAGAAAAACCAGTGTTTTCTTGCCAGATAATTCAACATTTTCAGAACCTGCAAGGTGTCTGCCCCCAGCGCGACCCGCTGTCACTGCGCTGGTGTCACTGGCGTAATTCCAGACGCGCACCGCCCGAAGCGCCCGCCCGGTGTGTCATGTCACATCGGCACCGGGCGTTCCCCACGGAGCTGCTGCCCATGTCCGGCACGAAACGGGGCTGAAGGTGTTCCCGATCGGTGTTCCCGGTCGGTGTTCCCGATCCCGGCTCCCGCACGGCGCGGACACGGCCGGGACGCGGCACCGCCCGCCCCAGCCCCTGAGGCGGCCGCTGCGCCATGGCGCCCCCTGGCGGGCGGGCGGGGCTGCCACGGAGCCTCCGCTGGATCCGCGTCCTGAGGGGGCCCCCGCCCCGGGATCGGGGGAGCACCGATCCCGCACTGGGATCGAGGGGACACCGACCCCGCCCCGGGATCGGGGGGACACCGACCCCGCACTGGGATCGGGGGGACACCGATCCCGCACTGGGATCGAGGGGAGCACCGATCCCGCACTGGGATCGAGGGGACACCGACCCCGCACTGGGATCGAGGGGACACCGACCCCGCCCCGGGATCGGAGGCAGCCAGAGGCACTGGAACATTATTATTTTTAGGGACGGTAAAATGTTGCGATGACTGCTCCTTCCAGGAAGCCTCATTAATACTAATTATAGCTCCTCATTACAGTCGCATTACATTTCTGTTAAGAAATGCATTGAAAGGTACAAACAGGCGGAACTGTTGGGTCAGTACTGAAATGAGCTGAATAAAGTATGTGCCTTTTTGAAAAAGATCTTGAGGAGAAGGTCTGCAATACTTAACCTTAGAGACAGTGCACCTGGAAATATTCTGAGGCTGAAATAATCATCATCCCAGTGTGAGGAACACATTAATTGGGTGAAAAAACATTTCAAATCATGAACCAAAAGTACTTCTAAAATGATACATATAGAAGTTAACAACCATTTCCTTTGTTAACACATAATAAAGTTGTATTAAAATCATATTTGCATTCCCTATTAATACAACCCCACAGATGATCAACTGATTTAAATTAGAGGACATTTATGAGTTTGTTTTTTCCATTCAGTGTGTTTGGTGCCAGTTCAGCTGCAGCCACTGCAGCACCAGCACCAGCACCTCCAACATGTGCCAGGGCCTCCGGCACCACTGGAGCTCCAGAGTCCATTTTGCAACCAGGGTGAAGTTAAGAGCTGGCTTGAATGAACACCCCGGGAGCCCACGCCCTTGCTCTCCCTCAAATAACAATGTTTATTACATTCTTATTACACTGAAAGGAAAGGAATGAGCATTTGGGAAAACATAACCCACGACTACAGGCTGGTGTGTGGGATGACATTATCCTGTCCAGCAATCTATTACTTCTCTCCATTCGATAATACAAACAGTGAGTGGACAAATGTCCCTTCCACACTTTGCTCCTCTGCTTTTTGTTCTCTGTCACCCTCCCAAAACAACACAAACTAACCGAGCTGTAAATAGTTTGCCAGATTCCAGAGCCTGGGACGCATTTATGCCAGCCTATCTCTTTTGGGATGAAAGTGCAGAGCTGCTGGGCTCACAAAAGCACTGTCTCACATATCCCTCTGTCCCTCCCGTTACCTCTCTTCCTTAAGCTGGAGGAGAATTTTAAGTGCGGATAGGAGGCCATACTGGCATTTCCACCATCTCTCCTCTATCATCTCTCAGTGCACTGTTTCACCCCCCTCTCTAAGTTTCTCTGCTTCTTAAAGCAATTACAATTCGACTGACTCATTGCACCACAGTCCTTGGAGTCACTCCTCCGTGCAAGAAAATAAACCCTCTCCTGTCTTGCTCAAAGATCTACTTTCTGCTAGTACTTGAGTGAGGCAGTGGCAACACAGAATTGTCGCCCAACACTTCTTGTCAAGTAGCTTTGTTACCCTTTAGTTACTTGGTAAGAACAACAAATACACAAATCCAAATGAAATCGAACTGAAATGTTCACAGTGACAAACTCAGTGCAAGGCAGTGA